AAGTTTCAGATATCAAAAAAATTAGCCGGTTGGTTGGTTGGCTAGCTGGCTAGCTGCATAGACAGATATGTGATAAAGTTTAGCAAATTGTTAACTGCACCTCTAGGCACTGCAGTATGGCTGATCTCTGTATAATTCCTTCAACTTTCTGTAGGTTTGAAAATATTCATAGTAAGATGTTGGGAAAAAATATTTCCTATTATATGGATGGGACTAAAAATACCTCTTACTTCAAATGAGCTAAGCAGCTTTTACTCAGTATTCTAAACTAGTGCTTTTCCAACCACAAAACATCCGGGGATCTTGTTAAAATGAGATTTTGACCCAGTGGGTCTGGGATGGAGCCTGAGACCCAGCATTTCTTACACATTCCCAGCAGATGCTGAGCTACTGTCGCTGGTTCAAGGACTCCACTCTGAGTAATGAATATCTACTAAATGACCTCATTTGGCCTTGATCCCCCTATCTATGGGACCCCACTCCCCCCCCACCCTAAGCAATAGTCTCACTGCCACCAAGACAAAAGGACTGGGGGCTGGGGTCAGGCAGGGGCCCTGGGAAAGCCCTGGGATGTCTGGTCAGCCATGCCCAGGCTCCAGAGCCTAGTCAGGCTCAGGGCTGGGAGGACACATGGGAGAAGCCCCATCGAGAAACCAAGGCCAAGAACAGACATCTGAGTCATGGAGTGGGAGGAGGGCCAGCTGGGTAGGACGGCCAATGCAGTGACTCAGCACGAGGGAGACTGGGGGAGCCAGCCCTGCCGGCCCCCACCCAGGCCCTGCTTGACCCCAGATGCCTGGGGCTTGGCTGATCATCTAAGGACCCGGCAACATGTGATTGCCTGCTGCTGCCCTGAGGACGGGAGAGCAGCAGGGGCTGGATGCTCCCCATCTTCCAGGCTCCACTGTGATTCGAGCCCTGGGGGTGACAGAAGGACAAGCAAAGAGGGCACGTCACAGTTTCCTCCTCCCCAGATCACGGGCCTCAGATCTGGAGTGGGGGAGAGGGTGCAGCCACCATCAAGTCGAGCTGCAACCCATTTTCAAAAAGGAGAAACAAGTCCCCAAAAGAAAGGCAACTTACCCAAAGTCTCGAATCCAGTTGATTCTCTGGTAACCTGATTTCTACCCTTCCTTGCTTTCATCTCAACCACAGTTATGTGTTTATTTGTCTGCTGACCCAATTAATGGCTATCTCCAACCTGGACCACAAGCTTCCTGAGGGCACATGGCTGACTGTATTTAACAAAGACAGACAGAACATTCTCTGCCATGCCACATGCTCTTCTTACAAGACACAGCCATTCCCCCATCTGAGGTGGGGTCTCTATCCCCTCCCCATGCAGCCAGCAGACCTTCATGACTGCCTCAACCAACAGAGTATAGCAGCAGTGACACTATGTGACTTCCGAGACCAGGACATAAAAGATGATAGAGGTTCCACCTGACTCTTTCTCCTGCCACACTCACTCTTAGAGACCAGCTACTGTGCCGTGAGGAAGCACAGGGTACGTGAAGAGACCATGTGGAGGTGTCAACCCCAGGTGAGGTTCCAGCCAAGTGGCCAGAATGAGCCACCAGAAACGAGACTCAGGAAGCCTTTGAGCTGACTCGAGTCTTAGCCACATCTCACTCTGACCACAGGAAAGACAGTGAAAACCACCCAGCTGAGCCCTGTCAATGCCCAGGGCTGTGAAACATCATTACAAATACTCTTGTTCATGCAACTAAATTCAGTGGTTTGTTACAGAATAATAGATAACTGGAGTATATTCTGAAGGGGATCAGAATATGCCAATCCAAAATATGTCACTCTGGCATAAGGACTGTTTTGAGTTAAATGCAATTAAGCAGCAGCAAATGCAGAAAGAGCTCTTTGCCCTTCCTGTATTTGCCTAAAAGCAGGATATAAATTTCCCTTTGTGAAGGTCTTTCCCCTCCCCGCTTCCATACCAGGAGGAGAACCACCTTTATCACAGGCAGCACTAAGATGGGTCTGCACAAACAAAGCTTATAAAATAACCCTTACCTTCCATTAGTTTCCCCCATGCATTTACCTGCTTATAATCTACAACCTCTAGAAACACAAAACGTCTTTTTCTTGGTCTTGTCATTTCTCTACATGAATATCACTCTTTGTTAAAATGGTATACAAGCCCTTAGGCCTAACCGCTTGCTTCCTTGAGGTTTTCACTTCTATTCTCTGAGGCCCCACATGCACATACATAATTAGCATTTTCTCCTGTTAATCTTTTATAGGTTTGATTCACAAGCCCTAGCCATAGACCCTAAGAGAGGAGAGGAAAAGGGTTTCCTCCCCTATAGTTCAAACCATATCTATTCTGTACACTGTAGCATCCCCAGCACCAAGCATGGTATACAACAGGTGCTTAATAAATGTCTGCTGAAGGGATAAAGAGACGCAGGATGGATGAAAGCCTAGAGTCTGCCCAACTTCAAATTGAGGCTCCTCCTCCATCACACCATGCTGCCCACATCATCAGATTTAGGTATGAGTTAGAGTCTAACAGCTCAACCTCTCTGAGCCTCTCTTTTTTTATACCTTAAAAAAGAATAACCCACCCCCCACCTCACCGCCAGCTTAAGACTATTGGGAGACTTAAACAAATGCTTCTCAAACTTTTCTATGCACACAAATTCCCTGGGGCTGTTACAAAAGCACAGGATCTGGTCTGGAGCAGGGCCTGAGATTCTGCACGTCTAATGTGCTCTTGCAGGTGGTCCCCACTTTGAGTAGCAGGGGTTTGAGGGAGATAAAAAGGTCTTAATACCACTGAATGGTACACTTAAAATGGTTAAGTGGCAAATTTTATGTTATATATATTTTACCACAATAAACAAATGCAAAACTTTAAAGAAGGGAGAAAAGCTCGTAACACTATGCCAGGCCCTCAGCAATCTCCATCTATGTCAGTTCCCTAATCTGACGTCCTGTGAGGCCCAGAACAGACCTCACCTTGAACGAGACATGTGTGCCAAGTGCCTCCCTGTACAACACAACAATAAATTACCATTAAAGGGCCACTACGTGCAGGGTCTGTTCTAGGCACTATGTTACAGGGGTGGACCCTGCCTTAGGGAGATAATAGCTGAACACAAAGCCATTCTTTAGCCAAGACCCTGCCCTGGAGTGGGTTATCAAGTTCACCAGGGCTGGCGTGAGGGTTAACTGAGACACACATATGAAGAGCTCAGCATAGTGCTGGTATGCAGCAGGGATCTAGTAAATTCCCTTTCCTTGCCTTCCATAAGGAGAAAGAACCCCTGAAAATGGAAAGGAGACAAAAAAGTAAGGTAAAAAAAAATCAGAGCTAAAGAAATGTTCTAGACCAAGGATAGGCAAACTTTTTCTATAAAAAGCCAGATGGTAAATATTTGGAGCAATATAGTCCCTATAGCAACTATGCAATTCTGCTGTTGTAACTTGACCCAGCCATAGACACTATGTAATAATGAATGGGTGTGGCCATGTTCCGATAAAACTTTACTTTAAAAAGAACAGGCAGATTTGGCCTATAGGCTGTTGTTTGCCAACCCCTAGTCTAGACCCCAGAAGGAAAGCACGAAGACAGGACAAAGTCAGCTCTGTGAGTCACCCCCAGGCACACGCACCCAGGAAAGAAGCGCAGAGCCTAGGGGGCGTAATAACTTCGTATAGCATACATTATACGAAGTTATACGAGTCCAGCAAGACTCTTCATCACCTACGATGAGAGCCTCTGTCTTTGTCAAAGTTCACACCAAATGCAACAGAGCCAATGCAGCCAAAAACTGCTCCCTCTGCAATTCACCCATTAACAGCTGACTCACTACGAACAAAGCATCAAAAAAAAAAAATGTTCCAAAGGCTCCCCGTTGCACTCAGAATAAAAATCCAAACAGCTCATCCAGCCCACAAGGGGACTGTCACACCTCTCAGGCACCATCTCAGCCCTCTCCTGCCTCTCGCCACTGGAGCCATACTGGCCTTTCTTGCTGTTCCAAACTCCATGACTGCTCCCTCCGCCTGGAATGTTCTTCCTCCAGGTGTTCTCATCTCGCTCCCTTGCTCCTTTAGGTCTCTGCTCAAATGTGGCTTCCTGGGGGAGGCCTCCGCTGACCTCTCTTAGGACCCCCAGCCATCATACTTGACATTTAACACCCCAACAGATACGTGGTTCCTGGGCTCATGTTTGGCACCCACCATGACAGCGTTGGCCTCAAGTGGGCAAGAACTCTGTCATTCACTGCTACAGCCCCAGGCCCAGATCAAGGCCTGGGCATTTGGTATTTGTTAGAAAGAGGGGAGAAGAAAGAGGGGAGAAAAAAGAGAGGAAGGCAAGAAAGAAGAGAGGGAGGAAGAGAGAGAGGAGGAAAGAAAGTGAGGAAGGAGAAGAAAAAGAAGGGAGATAAATGATCATGTCCCCTTTCATTCTACCAGCAGGAAGAGTGACCATCTCCACCCAGTCCACTGATCACCTTCGACACTTAAGGAATTTCCCTGAAACCAACAGAACAGACCAAGGTTCTCAAACTCAAATCCTTCGGGGGTGCAATCGGGAGAGGTGGGGGCTGTGGTGAGCTCAGACCACACTCAGCTCTGGCCAACTGCTACCCTGTGGAACTGCAGCTCTAATCTGCCAGAACTTCTCATTTTTCTAGAAAACTTAGAATTTATGTGAAATTTCCTTATTTTTAAGTATTTGCTCCCATTTTCTAAAATCACCACACCAAGTGAGAAAATTAACAGGCCTGCAAGACACAGCAATTTATAAGCACAAAGCAGATTGTCCCTTGAAGCCTCACTAGCCATGACTAAGCCTTGGTTTCTCCATCTGGAAAGTGGGGAAGATGGTATTCCCTGTCTCTAAGCATTTGAGGAGGACAGAAAGAGATCCTGGATGGATGACCCTGGTTCAGAACCAGGACCCAATACACAATAGCTGGTACTGTGTAATATTTCTCTCTCACACACATGCGCGCATCTGTGGTCACACTTACGGGGTCATTGATGGTTTCAGAGAAGAGGGGCGAGCGGTCTGAGAAACAGGACAACACCAGCTGGAGCAGCACGAGAGAAAAGTAAACGTAGAATGTGACATCACGGAACAGGTCGATGTGGGTGTCCTAAACATGAGGGAAGGGAGGAGGAAGAAAAGATCACCTTCTGGAAGCAGGTTGTAGAGGCTGGGAGAGCAGCCCCAGCAGGCCCCCTTCCTCCACTGCAGGCCCAATGCCAGGCTTTCCCACCACAGAAGAAAGGTGGAGACATCAGGGGTGGTAACCTGCTCACCACTGCCTGGTAAGGGTGCCCGATGGAGTGGGAGGTGGCCCCCCAGGGCTGGGGAGTGAAACAGAGCTGTGCTCTGCTCATATAGGCTGTGGGACCTTGTCAACTCACTTAACCTCTCTGTGCCTCAGTTTCCCCACCTATAAACAGACCAGCGATTCTCAANAAAGGTGGAGACATCAGGGGTGGTAACCTGCTCACCACTGCCTGGTAAGGGTGCCCGATGGGGTGGGAGGTGGCCCCCCAGGGCTGGGGAGTGAAACAGAGCTGTGCTCTGCTCATATAGGCTGTGGGACCTTGTCAACTCACTTAACCTCTCTGTGCCTCAGTTTCCCCACCTATAAACAGACCAGCGATTCTCAACCAGTGGTGATTTTGCCTCCCAGGGAACATCTGGCAGTGTCTGGGGGCATTTTTTTGTCTGTCATAACTTGGGGGGAGGAGTGCTTCCAGCACTCAGTGGGTGGAGACCATCGATGCCCCTCAATATCCTACAAAGCACAGCACAGCCCCTCCACAACAAAAATCTCCAGCCCAAAATGTGAATTAGTGCTGAGGTTAAGAAATCACGTTAGAGCCACTGTGAGAAATTACTAAGATTATTCACAAAAAACACTTAGTCACCTGCATGACACCTCGAAAACAAACTCAGTCCACGTCAGCTGCCATCATATTAAAGAGTATCTATACCGTACACTATTGGTGCTCAATAAATGTTCAGTTTCTTTTCCTTCCTATGCCTCATGCCAGTCCTTGATTAGCTCAAAGATGGAAATAAATTAGATTCTAAAAGTGCACACTCTTCAAAATTCCTAGGAGCAGCACACAGCAGCCAATGTAAACAACTTCTCCAGCCAGAGTAGCAGCTAATGGCAAAAAGGTAACATAGGGACAAGTCCAGGGCCCCCTGGGGGAACAGCCACTCCGCAAACACCAGTCCCAGCTTGGCTCCTTCCCAGCCTGTGACATTTGGAGCCAGTGTGTCCTTCTGTTTACTGTTGACAGAAGCACTGCACCTGCCCACGGCTCCTGTCCTTGTAGGACCCACAGGGGCCCCTTGGAGCTACACAAATAGGGCCCTGGGGAAAGAAGTTTCTAGAACAAAAGCTGGAGCTGACTTGGTGAGGATTTGGTGCAGCTGAGAAGTCCCCAAGGAAGAAGCCGGGCCCATGTGGTACCCATCCCATGGTTCCCGTGGCAACGCACAGCCACACCAGGAACAAGCATCTCTTCCAAGGGGCACTGAAGAAGGATGCAGAGTGAGACCACCACTCACCTCTTTTAAGGCAGTCATGATTTTGGATCTCAGGATGGCAAGGGCACACAGGAGGGCTAAAAGCCAGAAAGTGAGCATGATCCCTGAGGATTGAACTCCTTTCCTTCTCTCAAGCTGAATTAAAAAGGTAGCAAGCAGCTGGAAGAGAAAAGTACATGATAACAAGAGTCATTAAGAGAAGGCGGCACCCCAAGGCCCCCAGGTACCCTAGAGTAAAGGCTGCCCTCGGCTCAGTGATTCAAGAACTGCCTAGGGAGAATCTGGCTCCTGTCCCAGCTATACCCCACCTCGCTGGGTACCCCTGGGCCAGTCACAGAACTTCTAGGAGACTCCACACCTCATCTGCAAAATGAAGATGATGATACAACCTACCTGGAGAGGTGTGGGAACTGAATGAGACCATGTATGGATCTGGGATAGGATGGAAAAGTTAGAGGGAAAGCTCACTTTAGAACAGATGGTGACCACCAAGCTGCCACAGGAAGCTCCCTGGGCTCTCCCAAGCCGAGGTGGTGGGGGGCCTTGGGCCTAGGCCACACCCCCGACACGTGCAACGAGCCCAGTGATGACCAAGCCTCAGGAAGAAGGGCCCCAGGTTCCCGAGCTGGGATGGTGGGGGGAAAGGGCTTTTGCCACACACCCCCTGCCATCTGCACCCAGCCCAGCAATGACCAAGCCACCACTGGAACCCCCCCCCAGTCTCCCCTGTGGGAATGAGGGGGGTGCCACAGGCCTCAATCCACCCCTCCTCCTTCCATCCTATTTCCTTCCCCTTTTCCCTCTCCCCCTCCCTCCCAAATGCTCCACGACAACATCCTAAAACATAAAAAATAATGTTAATAAAATTACAGTTTCTTAAGAAAAAAAGATAGAACAGAGATAGGCACACTTTTTCTTAAAGGATCACATAATAAATACTTTAGGCTCGTGGGCCACATAGCCCTTGTTGCAACTACTCAGCTCTGCCATTGCAGCATGAAAGCAATCAGATTCCTAAAACATAAAAAATAATGTTAATAAAATTACAGTTTCTTAAGAAAAAAAGATAGAACATACTTTTTCTTAAAGGATCACATAATAAATACTTTAGGCTCGTGGGCCACACAGCCCTTGTTGCAACTACTCAGCTCTGCCATTGCAGCATGAAAGCAATCAGAGAGAGTATGTCAATGGACGGATGTGCTGTGTGCCAATAGAACTTTATCAATAAAAACAAGCAGAGGGCCAGGTCCTGGATCATAGTTCACCAACCCTTGATTTAGAGCTCAAAGACCTGGGCTCAAATCCCAGCCCAAACAGTTACTAGTTATTTTACTATGAGTGACAGTAATAACTGCTGTCCTTCATTAAACGCCTGCTGTATTCACCAACACAAAGTACGTCACATGCACTAACTCAGTAACTCACTACCTAACCTGCGAGGGGGCCCATTAGTAGCCCCAGTTTGCAGATGAAGAAACTAAGGTTTGGAGAGAGAACACCATCTGCCCTCATCTGCCTATGGCCACACATCTCGTCTTCAAGGAACTTCATTAGGACGATGGTGGTGGAGGGATTTCATGTGGGATGTTTATTTCATTCCTGGTATCAGGGGTTATTATTTCCACTTGACATATGAATTAATAACTGGGGAGGAAAAATAAACAATAAAACTGCTTTTCCTTGAAAGAGGAAGATACCATAGCCACTCCCCAGAGGCAGAAAGCTATCCAGAGAAGATCCCAATGCCTGGTCACCAGCCAGTCTCTGAGGAGTGGCAGGCCACCCACGCCACCCTCCTCACTTCCCAGATGCTGGGGCCAGAAACACCTCTATCCTTGTTCATCCTCCTCACTCCCCACATCCAGTCCATCAGCAACTCTCGTTGGCTTGGCCTTCAAGGCCCAGCCTCAGTTTACCTGCTGCTTACTCTGGTCCCAGCCTCCATCTCCTCGAGCCAGGTGACCCCATCCGTGGACTCCCAGTTTCTACTTCTGTCCTGAAAACCCATTCTGCACTCAAGGCAACAGTCAGCTTTTAAATATACACAACTGGGATGAGCCACTCTTGCTAAAACCTTTCCCATGTGGGCCAGGGGTTTTAACTTGGCATCCAAGGATGGGCTGTGGGCAGAATCCAGGGGTCCGTGAACTTGGAAGGGAAAAAATGACAACTTCACATTCCCTGATGAGCAAACACTAATCTGAATTGAAAGCAACATGCCACAATGGTATCAACAGTACTATGTCACCATTAGAAATCTCAGATATTTTCATATCCCATTGGAGTAGCCAAAGATGTCTCCAGTTATTATGTATGGTCACTGCTGTTTGGAAATTAAGGACCCCTCAACTCCCACTGCCAGATTTGAAATGCATCCATAGAGAAGTACATGTCTCCTCACTTGAATTTGGTTTTTGCTATTTTGATAACTGTATTTAAATATAATCAGTTTCCCTGCCCAGATGTCCTACAACTGAGGAACAGACAAAACAAGATGAGCTGAAGCCATGCAATCAAACACTACTCAGCAATTAACAAAAATAAAAGATCTTTTGATACACACAACAACGTGGCTGAACCTGCATGCTGAGAAGCCAGACTGTGAGGTTCATTCACATGACATTCTGGAGAAGGCAACACGATAAGGACAGAGGACACACCAGCAGTGCCAGGTCTGAGGGCAAAGGGAGGTGTGGACTACTGACTCCGAATGGGCGCATGAGGCAACTTTTGGGGGTGATGGAACTGTTCATTTTATATCTCAGCGGTGGAGGTGGTAGTTACACAGCAATATGTGTTTATCAAAACCCATTAACTTGCCCATGAAAAAAAGTGAATCTTACTGTATGTAAATTAAACCTCAAATACAAATATAAATGTGTATTGCAAAAACCTTCATAGGTATATGCATACAGGTGATTGGTTTCCTTCATAATCCTATCTATGTTACGTTTGCAAGAACATTACTCTGACAAGGAGACCAGACCGGCAAAGAAGAAAGGGGTCCCTGGCACGAAAAAGGTTGAGACCCCAGCTTCAGGAGTGAAAAAACAAAATCCACTTGCCCTGACGCTTGAGGTTCTGCAGGGTCAGCCTCTACCCTCCATACAGCCGCCATTCCTGCCTCTTCTCCTCGCCGTCTCTGTTCCAGCCACAAAGGACAACTCAATTTCTCCTTGTGACCCCAGGACCTTTACACATGCTATTCTCCCCACTGGATGGCCCTCTACCCTCAGCATCTTACGCTTTTTAATCTTCTGCTCATCCTTCGGGCCTCGGCTCCATCGTCCTTCCCTCAGGGACGGCTCCCTACTCCCCAGACCAAACCAGGTTCCCCTAACTTCACCCACACAGCACTTTGCACACATGTAAACACTTTGTGCCTTTTTGGGGAATCGTTCATTTAACGTCTGTTTGCACAGTTAGACTACACTCTTTTATCTCCAACTCCTGGCACACAGTAGGGATAAAAAAAGAAATTGCTAACTGCCTCCCATCACATATGCCTAGTGCCTGCATATTCAGTTCTGGGAGGGGGAGGATTATAGGAAGAATGTTCTGCAGCACTGGTAGCAGAGCTGTGCCACCATTCTGTCATGGAGCTAGCAGGTGGGGAGAGAGGCTGAGGGTCCCGCAGGCCAGCTCAGAGCCTAGGGGGTCAAAGGCCCACCAACCCTCAGCCCATCACACCTGTGTCCCCAGTGCAATAGACCCAGGCATGAAAGAATAATCAAAAGACCAGGAACAGAGATGGTTAATGGAAGAAGAGCTATTCCAGTCAAAACTAGTCCACTGTTATACCCCGTGTCCCCAGTGCAATAGACCCAGGCATGAAAGAATAATCAAAAGACCAGGAACAGAGATGGCTAATGGAAGAAGAGCTATTCCAGTCAAAACTAGTCCACTGTTATACCCGCCTGCTACAATGTGGAGCCCAAGACCTTCAGGCCAACACAGCAAAGCCCAGTAATGACCCGCTTCCTCAGCACGTTTATGGAGGACTTACTGCATGCCAGGCATGGGGCCAGGCTCTGAGGACATGGAAGGTAGCAAAACCAGCAGGGGAACCAGGTGTTAAGAGCCCCCACAAACAAATGGGCTGGGTTGGAATCTAGCCTACCACCTCGCTGTGTGACCTTGGGCCGGTTCCTTCACCTCTCTGTACCTCCATCTGCTTAACTATAACACAGGGACAGTGAGCAAACATATATATATATATATATATATGAGTTAATACGTAAAGGGACCAGGACAGTGCCTGGCACAAAGCAAACACTGTCCTTCACAATCTGGCTGCACCTCACCATTCCTGACCCTTCACTCTGTCCCATCCAATGTCCACCTCATGAACTTCCACGCTGTGTTCTTACTTCACCGAATGGCTCGCCCTCCTTCCCCTCAACTCCCTTTCAGCCTCCAATCCTTCCTTGGACAAACTGTCCTCCCCATCAGAATGTCCTGCCTCCAACTTGCTCCTTCCTCATTCTATAATGCTCCAGGGCTATGTTCTCCAAGAACCTTCCAGATGCCTCAGAGGATCCAGGCATGTGATACATACATGGAAAGAGCCCTAAATTCAGAACTAATCACTGTACCTCCATCTGCTTAACTATAACACAGGGACAGTGAGCAAACATATATATATATATATATGTTTATATATGAGTTTATATGTTTATATATATATGAGTTAATACGTAAAGGGACCAGGACAGTGCCTGGCACAAAGCAAACACTGTCCTTCACAATCTGGGTGCACCTCACCATTCCTGACCCTTCACTCTGTCCCATCCAATGTCCACCTCATGAACTTCCACACTGTGTTCTTACTTCACCGAATGGCTCGCCCTCCTTCCCCTCAACTCCCTTTCAGCCTCCAATCCTTCCTTGGACAAACTGTCCTCCCCATCAGAATGTCCTGCCTCCAACTTGCTCCTTCCTCATTCTATAATGCTCCAGGGCTATGCTCTCCAAGAACCTTCCAGACGCCTCAGAGGATCCAGGCATGTGGTACATACATGGAAAGAGACCTAAATTCAGAACTAATCACTCGGGCCGACTCACTGGCTGAGCGAGGTGCGGGCGCAACACCGAGGGTTGCGATCCCGTTGCCGGTCACAAAAAAAAGACAAAAAGGAAAAAAAAAGAACTAATCACTCAATGGTCGTGGCTTAAAGGCTGCAGAATGCAGGGGGTAAAAGCATGACCTCTGGTGTTCTACCCCTTGCCTGGCTACTTATTAGCTGTGTGACCTTGAGTGGCTCACTTAATCTCCCTGTGCCTTAGTTTCCTCAACTGTAAAATGGAGACAAAGTAGTACCTATCTCACAGGATTATTCTGAGAATTAGATGAATTTCAAGACATGTAAAACACCAAGAACACTGCCAAGCATAGAGTAAGAACTCAACACATGTCAGCTGTAATTAATTAAGTAGATTCCCTGTCTAAATTGTGGACCCCTCTGGGGCAGGGCAGTTTCCCATTCAGTTTGGTATCCCACCCCCTACACCACAGCCTGAAAACTCAAGAAGCCATTAGGTCCCAGGCAGTTCATATAAATGACTGAGGTAGCTAGTACGAGAACAGAGTATGGCAAGCACATGAAAGATAGCATCTGCCATTCAGCCTCAGAGGCAGGGAGGGCAACAAGGCNTATCTCACAGGATTATTCTGAGAATTAGATGAATTTCAAGACATGTAAAACACCAAGAACATTGCCAAGCATAGAGTAAGCACTCAACACATGTCAGCTGTAATTAATTAAGTAGATTCCCTGTCTAAATTGTGGACCCCTCTGGGGCAGGGCAGTTTCCCATTCAGCTTGGTATCCCACCCCCTACACCACAGCCTGAAAACTCAAGAAGCCATTAGGTCCCAGGCAGTTCATATAAATGACTGAGGTAGCTAGTACAAGAACAGAGTACGGCAAGCACATGAAAGATAGCATCTGCCATTCAGCCTCAGAGGCAGGGAGGGCAACAAGGCATGGTGGGGACTGTGGCAAACTGGACAGCACATGCCCCATCTAAAAGCTGCAGCTATATCCCACCTCCAGCTGATCACTGCCCTAAAAGACAATGAAGTCCAGTATTGCCTGGTCTGAGTTTTTCAAGAGAAGCCAGATTTCTAGATTTTTACAGTGAGATCTTCTCAAATGCCAGCTACTATTTTTTTTTTTTTTGTCTCCACAGTGCCTGGAACAGGGCCAAGGGTTCATAGCCAACTCCTACTTACCATGGTGATGCCCAAGAGGGTTGGGCTGACCAGAAATATTGGGGCCAGGAACACACCCTGACTTCTTTCCCAGAAAGAGTAGAAGAGTTCTGCCCAGCAGATGATCCACAGCAAAAATCCCAAGGCCTGGAAGAGAAGCATATACATATCTTATAAAGGACAGCATTAAACTTCCCCAAGCACCCTCACAAAAAGCTCAGACTCGGGGGAACCAGCCAACCCCCAATCAGCCATGGTCCTCAGGTATAGCACATATCTGGAATCTGGACAAGTCCTAGGTAGGGAGAGGCACCATTGGGCCATCACATGTGGATCTGTAACCAGCTTGTTATCTACCCCTCAGCCCTCCAAAGAGCTCTGTCTGGCCACTACTCTCCCCAGCATCTGAAAACTCAAGAGCTCAGCCTGCAGCTTATCTTTACCTGCAACCTCAGCATACTGCACAAGGCCCCTAAGTAACCATTCATTTGACAACATTCATTCAACCAACACTTACTGAGGGCTTAATATGGATCACATACTTTTTCAAGGTGCTGGGGTTACAACAGTGAACGAAACAGACAAGAGTCTCTGCCTTCATGGAACTGACATTCTTGTGGAAGGAAATTGGCAAGAGACAAACTAAAAATGACATAATATCATGCCAGAGAGTAGTAAATGTCATGTGGAAAAATAAAACAGGAAGACAGAGAGAATGAGCGGGGAAGGACTCTCTGACCAGGTAACACCTGAGTAGGGAGCAGAAAGAAGTGAATACCTGGAGGAAAGAACACCCCAACAGAGGGTATGAGAAGTGAAAAGGCCCTGAGGTGAAAACGCATTCAGAGAGTTTATCCCTGCCCAGGAATGAGCGAGATGAAGCTGGGCCACTGGACGACTTCCCTATTGTATTCCAGCAGTGAAAAGCTACCAGAGGGTTTTTGAGCAAAGCAAGGACAAAATCTGATTTATACTTAAAAAGAAGATATAGTTCTCCAAGAAAAGTACAAAGAACTCCCAGAGGCATAAGAGAAAGACATTAAATCTAGTTAAGGATAAGGAAGTAGATGACATTTTCTAAAAAGATTTTTTTAGAGCAGTTTTAGGTTCACAGAAAAATTAAGAGGAAGGTACAGACA